CCCACAAGCTCGAAAACAAAAGCTTTATTTTCCAGAATATATGTTATAAGAAACATATTTTTTAGTATTTATGGTTACATGTAACTCAATAATTGTATATTTAACAACCTACTGGCTAGAAAGTCATAAAGAAAAAATATTGACACATAGAATAATTTTTACAAATTTAAATCATAAGTTACAGAAACGCATTTTTCAGAGCTAAGAGAAGAAACTGATTGAACTTACTAGCAGTCAGACACATGAAATAACAATCTTTTGGTCTAAACCTGAATATATAAATTTTTTTGTCGTATAGATTTGTGTATATTAATATGTTGAATCGTACAACGTATCAACATTCACAACACACACAAGCACACAAACCAAACTCGCACTCTGCTGCAATGCGGAGCTTAACACTGGCACTAAAAATAAGAAAGAATTCTTGACTCCACCTGAAAAGTCGTGAAATTAAATATCAATAAAGTTTGTTTTGGGCTTAAAGATTATATTACTCAATGACTTAATATTTTTACAGCATCACCGTGTAGAACGTAATTAATACTTGCTATGATAATATAATGTATTGGAACGCTATGCACTAAACTTTGAAAACGTGCAACAAAATATTACTGATGTAGATAAGTTGACTAAATATATATATTGCTTAGACGTTTATGAAGAAAACGTCCAGAAGTCAGCGTAGCTATATTATCTCTCGGATCTCTGTATCGTATCTGAGTTTAGTACAAACTACTTCTCAATGTTTTTGTGTATGTAAGTAATTTACTCTACCCAACTATGACGTCAATTGGAAAATGACACGCAATTAATACTGTACTCTTTGTTTTGTTATTATGAACTTAAAAAGAGAATTGCATATTACTTCTTTAAAGAAAAAAAATTCAGTGGATCAGCGGTACGTCTGAGGGCTTCTAATGCTAAATATTAGGTTTAAACCCGCAATGGGCAGAGCATAAATAGCTCGTTGTGTAGCTTTATGCTTAACAACAACCAAACAAAGTATTTTTAATATACCTCTTTTTATAAACCAAATGTACTTGTTGTGTTACGATGGGCTGGCTTTCTCAAGATTGAATGCACCTTACTCAATGTATCCAGGGATAACCTAAACTAACTAAGCAGATGTTCACTAACTGTTGTTATAATGACCTTTGGTTAACTCTTTACGTGCCAATCATACTGTAAGGGATAAAACCTGAAACAAAACTTACAAAGTTGTTGTATTGGTGTCATGGAAATTTGTAAAGTAAAGGTTAGAATATTTCTTAATATATTTCAAAATTTACAACCTTTTATAGAATAAATTAAAGGACAAATAGTAAAAAGTGTATTCCAAAATTCGTTATTAATCAAATAAATATAAACTGACTTATTTTTTATTTAAGGGCTTTAGCTACAAGCCAAGACGTTCCATAGATTTACATATATGGAATAAAATACATGCAATAATATACTATATATTTTTTAACTCTGGCTATATTTTAAAGTGTATTTTATAGTACTTCAAAAATAGTTAACTTTTTGCAAACAGGATTCCTTATAACATTTAGAATGTAAGCTACTGAATTAAACCTAACAATACAAACACCAACAATCACTTTCCAATTATATGACATCAGAGTAACATCGTATATATATATATATATATATATATATATCATATCTATTTTTTAATTACCTCCTATTACTATTC